GTAAGGTTACCCATGGGCCTGAAAAATATCCCTAGTATATTCCAACGTTTAATGCATCTCGTGTTGGATGGATGTTTAGGATCCTATGCGTACATCTACGTGGACGACATAGTGATCTACTCTAAAACCGCTAAACAACACGTGACACATTTGGAGGATATCCTTGGTAGATTAAATAGATCTGGGTTAAAAATAAAGTTCTCCAAATCTCAATTGTTTAAGACACAGATAAAACTTCTGTGACAGTTTCCACGAGTGAGTTTTTCTGAGTTTCTGTAATTAGTTTATTTTCTAAATTTGCACTAAATTTTCAGAAACTATTTCAACGACTCCCATGCCAGAATATACAACTGTAGATTCGTCAGTGGTTTTGGAGATGAGCACTGAGGTGTCCACTTCCATTTCCATGATGCAGACGACTATTTCGGCACCCAGTTCCACTGTTTTTGTACCTGGTCCAGTGCCAGTAATTCCATTGGTTGTCGAAATGAATGAGCCAATTGAAAAGGTGATGGTCGCGTATGAGCCGAAACAATCGGGTCATACCTGGACCTTTTGATTGGTTTGGTCATCTTTTGTGTTTGCTTGCTGGTCATCTTGTCAGCTCTGGTCTATTTGAAATGGAAACCGGTAAGTTTGTAAAGTCTAACTTTCTTTTCTTTCAAAGTATAAACTTTTCAAACTTTCAGGTTAGAGGAATAGTAAACTCGGTTGAGGACACCATTAGGATTTACAATCCCTTTTTTGCTGATGGCGCTGAAGAAGAAGAAACTGGAGAAACTAGAAACGTCACTTATGGTGAGGCATTAGAACTTGCAGCGCAGGGTTGTTCTTACGCTACCATTCGTCCAATTAGAATTAAACTTTTAAGTGAGTTTCAGGGAAAAATACGATTTGTGTACAATACTAACGAAATTTCTATATTACAGAATTTCAGGAGATGCAAGAGATTCCTGTGCATCAATCCAGAGGAGAAACAACAGAAGAATCAACTTGTTAGCACATACAATGTGTTATCGTGGAGGATCCACCGGAACTCAAACCGCATATCAAGGGACCATTCTTTTTAGTGCAATTCGTTCGCGAGCTTTATTTTAAGGGCATTTGTTGTTAAGTTTTAATGCCAATAAAATGTGTTGCTTTGTTGGGAATTCTGCATTTTATTTTATAGTCATCATTCCTGTTCTCGCGTTCAATTGTAACCTGGGGTATTGGGGAATCACAGGGGCACTTCTTGTCGGTAACAATTCAACTGTAGTGTTCTCTAAGGCATCCATATTTCTTTGCCTTCTTCTTCTAATGACATACCTTAGTTTCGCAT